TATATATATATATATGTTACATTTTTTGTCTATTTCCCTGATTTGTCATTTTCTGGGGATGCATACAGAATACATATTTTATAATCTATATTTTAATATTGAAGATATACTGAACAGTTTATTTTTGTTCTAGTGCACCACAGGGCTGATTGAAATGAACAGCATTGTCATTGTTTCAGGTGAAGCCTCAATGCACATGAATGCAATATAGCATTCATACAAGTAACTCACTTGGGTACTGCCTTGTTTGACCCATTCCTCACATTTTTTGTGGAATGGTGCTTTAAGATGTATTGCATTCACTGATACTGTGGAATATTTGTTTCTTGATGCAAAGGTGTGTTGCATTCTTTTATGTTGCATTTGTTTAAATCTGTAAAGCTGTGTTACTTTGCCTGCCTAAAACACCTGATTGGTCTAATAAAGGGATGAACAGCAAATAGCTAGGGAGGAGAAAGAATAGGTGGGACTGGTGGGCAATGAAATTAAATAGGAAGAAAAATCTAGAGAAGAGGGAGGAGAAAAGTAGGAGAGGATGCCAGGGGGCAGCCACCCAGCTACCTAGCCAGCCCCAGAGTAAGAAGGAAAAAAAGATATATAGAATAAAGAAAGAAAGGTAGAAAGCCCAGAAGCAAAATGTAGTTAAAGAGTAATGGGTAAGTTAAGTTAGAAAAGCTGTCTAGAAACAAGCCAAGTTAAGGTCAGGCACTCATAAAGTAAGAATAAGTCTCCTTGAATTTGTCTGGGAGCTGGTTTGTGGGCCCCCAAAGAGTTAAAAAAAACCCTACATTTTGGCATACCAACATGATGTTCAAATATCCACCTAGGACCTGAAAATGCTGAAAAATTAGAAAAAAATTTTAGAAGCCCTGTTGTTTAGTGAGCAGCTCTAAATAGAAATAGTAACCCAAGTAAAAACTCTTTTGGCAGCATAAATACAGGCTGCTAGAGGCCAGCCATCTAGCCATCCAGCCATCCACAATGCAAGAAGGAAAGAAAGATAAATAGAATATAGAAAAGTAAAAAGCCCAGAGGCAAAACATAGTTAAAGAGAAATGGAATACTTTAACTTATAAAACTAGCTTGAAACAAGCCAAACCAAGGCTGGGTATTCATAAGTAAAAAACACATCACCCTGTATTTATTTTTGAATTGGGTGGCAGGTACACACAAAAAAATCAACCAACTACACACATCCTACAATCCCTTTCCAGATGTTAGGTTCTCATTGAGACCTGCACTGGAAAAACTTGCCTGTGGTACATAAACTTTACACACATGACCTTGGTTTCTGTTGTTGATTTTTGTTTTTATCAATAGTACTCAACCTCTGATAGTCTAGGTCACTTACCTTTAGTCTTATTGTCAAGATCCTATATAAGAGGATGAATTCTACCCTTGCTAATTTTCATTTGTAACTCCATCCACTGGACTAGACTAACTCACATGTGAAATGTGAGAATCACTGGGCACCATTCTGGAATGGTAATGTAAGTGAGTGAATAAAATCCCATTGCCTTTGGATCTATTGGCAAGAATATGGGATTTGTGTGGACATCTTCATTGAATAAAGCAGTGAGCTACAGATTGCCACAAAGTGATCAAACAAAATACCAGCCAGAAAAAAGCACTCAACTGTCCAAAAGAAAGCAGAAGATGAATATCCTATATCAACAGAACCCATGTGACTCAGAAAAAAATTACAGGGGATAACAGAGCTGGGAAGAGGCTCTGATGAGGAGAATGGTGTTGAGGTTCCCAGACACAGTCACCAGGTAGATGCACAGGATGATAATGAAAAGGATGACTCTAAGGACTGGGTCATCTGTCAAGCCTGATAAAATGAACTCTTTCACTGCAGTGTGGTTTCTATCC